ATCGCTCTCCACGGGCGATTTTTGTTGTCATTTTGTGAAGAAAAAAAAAACTGAAAAGTAGTCATTTCGTTAGTGTACCAAGTATAAAGTGGTTATTTTGGGTAATTTTCTTTATTAAAACCATAAAGACTTAAAAAACTTGTGTACTTATTGATGCATATATAATAATGAATTTTAGTGAGTATATGCATCAACGTATATATATACATGCATTATGCATACATAGGGGGTGTTTGAGATTGCTTATAAAACAACTTATTGACTTATTCCGGTGTGACACCGGTAATAAGCACTTTTGAGTGTTTGGATAAACAACGTATATCAGTGCCAAACCGATAATAAGAAGTTTTTGAAGAAGTTAAAACCTTCTGACTTATAACAAGTTGATAAATGCTTTTGTAGAAAAGTATAAGTTGTTTCAAATAAACCATCCCAAACACCCACATAATAGATACGTATTCATTGAATATACTCATTGACGGAATACATAACTGATAATATATATACATAAATGAACATACAAGTTTTCGGGGTTCTTAATTTTTTTTTAATTCTTATATGAACACGAGTCTATATGTATGTGTATCTATACACATATATAATATTTATATGTGTGTGATCGAGAATCGTGTGATTTTCAAAGATAAAATCTTAATTTTATGTTAAACATGATTATCGATTTTAGAAATATATCACCTATTAAGCCACTGTTTAATAGATATAAGCTAATTTATAAGCTAACTTATTTTTTTGGTACACGTTTGAATAAACATAAACTAATTTATTGAAACACTAGTTGGAATAGCTTATGAGTTTTTGTCACTTTTTTCAATTATAACCTTATTAATATTAATTATAAAATAAATAGAAATAAAAAGTTAATTATTATTAATGTTAATAAATACTAATCAACATGAGCTGAAAATTATCAATCATATTTTGTTATACATTAATATCAATTATTAATTATTTAAAATTATTATTAATTGTATCAATTATTTTAATACTAGAATGGTAATCGCACAATGCAACGAGATAAATCTTCATTTTAATGTTTAGTTTTTATTATTTGTCTTTATCGATATAATACGATTTTATGTAGTTTTGAGAAAGCAATGATGTTTTTATTTTTGAATAAAATATAAATTTGAAGATATCATAAAAAAAATTTAAAAAATAAATCGATATTAATATCAAATAAACTATTTAAAAGTTCTCGTTTTTTTGTGTAACTTCTTTAATTCAATTTTTTTATTATAACTTAATTTAGATTTCATAAAAAAATAATTTATTTTTGGTTTAATAATATAATTTTTATAAAGCTAATAATTAAACATTCTGTTATAAATCAATAATTATCTTAATTATATTTTATATTTTTTATATTTAAAATTGATATTTATCATGTATTTGATTATGCTTATCTGCATCTAGTTAAATGAACTTAAAAATGAAGCTTTAATAAGTTGTACTTACGTAAAGTTATTTGTAATCTTGAATTTTATGTAATATCCATCAATAAACAATAATTTATGCTTAAAAATGGATTTTAAGAGTTTTTGTGAAATATTCTATAATATAGTACATATTATTATTTTTTAATTATTGTTTAATATATGTAGTTATTAAACAACAAATATAATAATTATAATA